TTATGGATCAATGGAACAGAACAGAGAGCCCAGAAATAAACCTACACACCTACAGTCAATTAATCTTCAACAAAGGAGGCAAGACTATACAATGGAGAAAAGGCAGTCTCTTCAGCAAGTGGTGCTAGGAAAACTGGACAGCCACATGTAAATCAATGAAATTAGAACACTCCCTCACACCATACACAAAAATAAACTCAAAATGGCTTAAAGACTTAAAATATAAGACAAGACACTATAAACCTTCTAGAAGAAAACATAGGCAAAACATTCTCTGACATAAATCTTAGCAATGCTCTCCTAGGGCAGTCTACCCAAGTAATACAAATAAAATAAAAAATAAACAAATGGGACATAATTAAACTTACAAGCTTTTGCACAGCAAAGGAAATCATAAGCAAAACGAAATGGCAACATACAGAGTGGGAGAAAATATTTGCAAATGATGTGACTGACAAAGGTTTAATTCCCAGAATATATAAACAATTCATATAACTTAATAACAAAAACCCAAACAACTCAATCCAAAAATGGGCAGAAGATCTAAATAAATAATTCTCCAATGAAGACTTACAAACGGCCAATAGGCACATGAAAAAATGCTCAATATCGCTAATTATCAGAGAAATGCAAATCAAAACTACAATGAGGTATCACCTCACACCAGTCAGAATGGCCATCATTCAAAAGCCCACAAGTGATAAATGCTGGAGGGGGTGTGAAGAAAAGGGAACCCTCCTACACTGCTGATGGGAATGTAGTTTGGTGCAGCCATTATGGAAAACAGTATGGAAATTCCTCAAAAGACTAAAAATAGAGTTACCATATGATCCAGCAATCTTACTCCTGGGCACATATCAGGAAGGAACTCTAATTCAAAAAGATACATGCACCCAAATGTTCATAGCAGCACTATATACAATAGCCAAGACATGGAAGCAACCTAAATGTCCATGAGATGACTGAATAAAGAAGTTCTGATAATATTTATACAATGGAATGCTACTCAGCCATAGAAAGAATAAAATAATGCCATTGGCAGCAACAGAAATGGACCTGGAGATCATCACTCTAAGTGAAGTAAGCCAGAAAGAGAATTAAAAATACCATATGATACCACTTATATGTGGAATCTTAAAAAAAAAAAAGGAAAAGAAAAAAGAGGATGCTAATGAACTCATCTACAAAACAGAAAGAGACTCACAGACACAGGAAACAATCTTGACGTTACCAGGGGAAAGGGGGTGGGAAGGGATAAATTTGGGAGTTTGAGATCTGCAAATGATAACCACTATATAAAAATAGATAAAAAACAAATTTCTTCTGTATAGCACAGGGAACTAAAGGTATTCAGTATCTTGTAATAACCTTTAATGAAAAAGAATATAAAAAATGTGAATATATATATACACGCATGACTGTGACATTATGCTGTCCACCAGAAATTGATATATTATAACTGATCATACTTCAATTAAAAAAAAAAAAGAAAGTCAATAGGGTAGGTGGCAGAAGATGAGTGTATCAAAGTAGAGAGATCAGATAGAGGAAGAATTTCATTCTATAAATCGGCCATACAAAGGAGTTTGTTTTCAGGTGGGGAATACTGAGATAGGTTTTAAACAGTAGGGTGGGGGTGGGGGGTGGGGATGGGGACAGAACACTATTTGCCCTTTCGAATCTAGCTGCCATGTGAAAGATGAAATGATGTGTGCGTGTGGGTTGGGGGAGGGTGGGTAAGGAAAGAGGGCAAAACCTCGAAGTAGAGTCTCCATTTAAGAGACTGTAATAGCAATCCCAGTGAGAAACCAAGGCACTGGAATGGGGAAGGGAGGGTGAGCAGAGAGATTTTCTGAAGTCAGCTGGACCTGTTGATTCGGGGAGGAGGCTTGCTCATTAGAGTAAAGCTTGATTCTTCTGAAAGGCCTCACTACATGATTTAAGTCAGCTCTACACCCTTGCCTGGGAACTTGGACTTAAAGGGACACTGCATTTACAGATGCAGGGGACGCAACTATGGTTATATACCTAATTCTCAGGATCATTATTTTCCCCTTCCTCCCTGGAGTGTCAAAAGCCCTCCACCCCCTGAAGAAAACAGCAGTGCTTTACTGCTGACGATTATGGGTTTCACATTGTGTCATACACAGCCCCAGAGCAACTCTGCCTACGCGCTGGGGATGCCCCCTGGCAGACAGTTACCACCTGGTGCTCCTGCACTGAAATAATGATCATTTATCTCCTTTTACCTTATTTCTTGAAGTAACATTCAAAAGTGGGATAAATTACTCCACTCCTAAGATCGGTGGAGAAAACCAAGAACCAAGAGCCAAAAAGCAGTGACACTGCCAGGATGACAGCTTCCTCCTCCCCTTCAGCTGGGTGGTACCTGCCTCTCTGCTCTATTCCAGCCACTAAGTGGGAAGCTCTCACGCGCTGTGGAGCCTGAGGACGTTCAGGAGCAGAGCCCACTCAGTGAAAGGCGAGGCCATAGCTAGGAGGATGACTCACGCTGGATCCAGAGAGAAAACAAATGGTCTTAGAAATTTGGTGGTGATGGTGGGGGAGGATATGTGGAGAGGGGCCACTGCCTTTTCCAGGAAATTGGTTAGTGAAATAATTCTAGTGGGAAAAGAATCAGAAAAAAAAAAATCCACTTACTGATACAAGAAATCAGATCATTAAATCTTTCCTTAGGAAAGAGGGGGTTTTCCAGCCCACGGAAATAGAGCTTCAGAACGCCAGCAACCGAGTTAATATCATGGTTACTCTGGTCATCAGCCAAAGGGTTTTCACCTAAAAAAAAAAAAAAAAAAATTAGTTCCATGCACATTGCTTCTCATTTTTTCTCTGAACAAAAATAAAATATGTTTCTATACTCACACACACATTTCTATATATACATGTATCTTTTAATTATACTTTATGGAAGATTACATAGTACTAAAATTAAAATAATTGGTTTAGATATCCCACCCCATGATTAACTTAAAAATAGCTGGCTAAAATAAAGCTTTTTTTAGATCTTATGCTACCAAATAATCCCTTACAAATTACCCAAATCTTAAAATAAAATATTGTGGGATTTATAATTTGACCCAACTTTTTTTTTTTTAAATGCTAAAATCTGTCATCTTATTTTGACACGAATTCAAATACTACATTCTGTGTTTCTTATCCTACTGGGAGAAAGAAACAATATAGGCCTGTCAGGCTATGCTACATGGATAAGCAAAATTTATAAGAAATATTATAAGATTCATCTAACTATGAATACATATAATTAAATAAATGTTTCTCAGAGTGGTGTAGTGGTGTTCACGGCACACTTGAGAGCCATGTTCAGCAGGGGAGATTTTGAAATCAGACAGAGGAATCTGAAAATGCACCCTTAACAGTACCAAGGAATTTGAATAAAAAGTGGAAATTTAAAAAGTATCTCACAAACATGAAATTACATGATTTTTTTTGGTATGCACTTTAAAAATACTAGGTGACTGTCCAGGCTAGTCAACCTCCCTGAGAATTAACCTGAGATAAAATCCTTAAGAAGTACAAAATAATATATAGCCTTAAACCGAATTCCATTTTTTAATTCAGAGGTCTGTTCTTCTCTTCTAAAGTTCACAAAAACTGTGTACTGCATTTTAACTTTTTTTTGGGGGGGTGTCTCTTGAGCCAGTTTATGTTCAGGGACCTGTGGTTCCTTTTTCTCTGCTTCTCAGGAGGGAAATCACTGAACATGAACTCACCAAAATATTTTTTTGCCGACTGTGAGAAAGCCTTACACAAAGAGATCACAAACAAACAATAAATACCAGGGGAATTTCCAAAGAAAAATAACAAGGCATTTTGCCTTTGGTGGTTGGCAGAGGAATCTGAAGCTTTACTCCATTTCCATTTATCCTGAATATGGTCCATGCGAGAGACTTGGAACACTTGGCTGTTGAGCGGGGAGGCGGCTCTGCTCTACACATCATATCAGTCAGAGGATTTGGAACAGGAAAAACAGTCTGGCTCCAAGTTTACCTCTTCAACCAAGGTTTCAAACTTTCAAGGGCTCTGTGCCAAGTCTGGGTCAGGGCGGATGGGACAGAGAGAATCTGCCCTGTCTCCAAGCCTTGATGCCCCTCCCTCTGCATCCTTGGCTTGACATCTGAGCAGAGGGGGGATAGAGCAGATATATCCAGAAGTAGACGTAATACAAATCATTATAATTGGAGAGCATGAGTAGCTATGAGCCACCACGAAAGTTAGGCACTTTCATGGATTATACCCAATCCTCACCCTAATCCTAGAATTCTGTAGATGAGAAAACTGAGAGATGAGTAACTTGACCTAAATCATGTGATCAGTAAATGAAAGAGGATGGTCTGATTCTAGGTCTGCCTGATGTATGGTTTTGCTAATCATAATGTGCTGACGAACAGCTGACGAGGACTTATTCAGCAACCAACTGGGAACAAGAGTAAGGCACCAACTCGGGTCACAGGAAAGGAGTTTGGGGATGGTAATAAGAGGAAGGAGAGTTCCTGACAAAGGAAACAGACATGAAGCGGGGATGAGTCACCTCCAACACCTGCTGTGCAGGCCCAGGCCGTTCCTGCCACAATTCTAGAACCTTTCATGCGCCACCTTTGACAATGTGCTGAGGATGATCAGTGCTGGTCCCAAACCAGGATACAAAACTCATCTGCTTTCCTAGACTCAGTAACAAAGCCTTATGATTTTGGCTTCATTTCTCAGCTATTCTAAATAGATTCCTAACATCCCAAATGAAGTAAATGCAGTGAAAGGTTTTGAGATAGACAGAATGAGTTTGCCACTTCACTCTACCGAAAAGGATGACTTTTTAACAAGGTTTGCTTATAGATACAGATGTGCAATTACCTCTCTCAAATGAATTTTTAATATCATTGACTTCCACTTGGGAACCAGACACTCTGAAAATCCCCTGATGCTGAAGACCTAAAGAGAATAGAAGGGAAAAAGGATAAACAGTCCCATTATATCCTCCAGGTGCCCCTTTCCCCAACGATTAAGTGTTAAAAGGAAAGACACGCTTACTAAAATATTTCTCATAATTTTTTTTTTAAATAAGAAGATGTTGTAGTTCATGGCTTACCATAGAGGTTGATGAACCGAATACAGCTTTCCACAATGAGGGGGATGATCTGTCCTGAGTCCTGGGTAAACAGATGGAGACCAGTTAACCGTAAAGGAGAGGTGCACATCACACAAGACAATAAACCTCACAGTTTAGCCCTAATTAAAGAGTGATTTTTTTTTTACTCTTTTAGATGATCATTTCCAAATACACCCCCTCTAAAATATTCCACAAGGAACAAATACAAAATTATATTTAGCCAAAGTTACATTTCAGTTCTGGGGCAAACCAAATTAAATACGTTGAAGGCAATCACGTTTCAGCTTACTCTGCGTGCCTGAAGATGTCACAGTTAATTCATCGCTTCTACTTGTACTTAGGCTCACATACCAAAATGAATATGTAAATCACTCATTTATAAAAAAAAGGTTACTTATACAAGTAATTAATCTCATGAACCTGAAAAGAACTCTGTGTATTCTAAGCATAGCATCTTAGTACTAACTGACCATGTTAGTTACCAAACATAACCTTCCAGCCATCTCAGGATCCTCTCTGTTACATCTAGATGATGATGGTCATAAAAGGGCTTATGCATTTCTGTGTAATGCATGATACAAGAATTGCTTTGTAGATGCTCATAATGTGCCATGTATTTATTTAGTTTGCATCAGAACTTACTCATCCTTATAGATTTTTCATTTTTATTTTTTCATGTTTTAATGATTGAGGAAAAAACGGTGCCCATGTGCACCCCGTAAGACTTCATTTTCTTAGGAAGGAACATTTCTTGGCCTTCTTTCCCCACCATCTTGCAAAAGAGTCAGTGCACTCTACTGAACAAATGTGAATTCTGCAAATCTTTTAAGACATTATAGGATGACAAAGGAGATGTAGGAGCTGCTGAGGTCACAGTTAAATATATTTATGTATCAATGCCATGCACTCCATGGTGTTAAGAAAGGTTACTGACTATGGAGTTATTTTTCATGTACTTTTAAGACTCTGCTCTTTCATGAATAAGAGCTGTTAAAGGAAACATGGAGGTTCAAAATGATTTGCTGAAATCAGGTACTAATTCATGAGGAATTTTACTCTGAAACACAAGAATTTGGTTCTCTAAACATATTAGAACAGTTCAGAGTCCACTAACCTAAGAAGTGGGAATAATGTGGTTCAGCGATCTAAATTTTCACTATTCCTAGAGCAGGTAATATACTTCTTGAGGAATAGTTTCATTTTAGGTTTTAAGACAATCTAATCAGTGTATAAACCAGTTAATGGTTCAGTTACTTCTGGAGCTTGTATTAAGTTTCTGTAATTGTTTTAGGAGTATAAAGTTGATTAATTTCTTAAAGAAGGTTCTTAAGAATAAAAACTCTTTTCAGTGTGGACTAGTTGGTTCAAAAACAGCAATGTAATTACATTAAAACTTACTGAATATGAGAGGGGATTTTTCTTTACGTCACAAGTCTGTTTTAGGTGAAGTGACCTTTATAATGAACAATTCCTATAGCACTGTCATCTAAAAGAGCAACAAATACTTAAATGTAAATGATAAAAGGACAATATTAGGTTGCAACTTGGCTTGAACTTAGTACTAAAACAAAAAGAAAAACAAAGAATAAAAGGTTGTTAAAAGGAAAATGTTTGCACTAGGATGGTTGTAAATAAAAATGTCTTTGGTTTTCATATTATTTCAAAAATATTTTCTTCTTTACACTTACTCAGGTAATTGCTAATCTTTCAGCTACTGGTATTTCATTCAGATATAATGAATTCTGGAGTCAAAAAGTAATGAATGTGCATGTTTTTCAATTTAATTTCAAGGATGCCAGATACTTTGGTAGAAAATATTTTACAAGAATTGAAAACAATGGGCTGTGCTCCACTGACCATTCAAATAACCCCCTTGGTGTCTCAGTTTCCCTGTGGGACACAGAGGGAAAATGGTTCTGCTCCTGCTATCTCTCAGCGACACTGTGGGGACCTCAACTGATTGAGCACTTCCCAGAAGTGTAGAGAAAGATTCTTTAATATATAGCCTGGGACAAAGAGGAGCTCACATACGTGAAGTTTTTATGATAACTGGTTTACTCCTTCTTTGGTGCCCAAATTTGGCTTCCTTTAACTGTTTTTTTTTTTTTTGAAATATAGTCAGTTACAGTGTGTCAGTTTCTGGGACAGCACAATGTCCCAGTCATGCATATACATACATACATTTGTTTTGTTTTGTTTTTTTGCAGGGAGGGAGGTAACTGGGTTTATTTATCTATTTAGTTTGACGGTGGTGCTGGGGATGGAACCCAGGACCTGTGCATGCTTAGCACATGCTCTACCACTGAGCTACACCCTCCCCCTTCATATTCTCTTTCACTAAAGGTTATTACCACATATTGGTTATAGTTCCCTGTGCTATACAGAAGAAATTTGTTTTCTAAATCTATTTTTATATTTCTTTAACTGTTCTTAATGAAACATCTTTTCAAAACATGTGCTTCCCTATCATCTTAAGCAGTCACTCGTGTACTGTGTTACCAAATATAATGGAACCATAGCCTGCTTCTTGGAGCTTTTCTAGCTGCTCTTTCTCTGCCAGGCCATCAGTTGCACGTCTCAGTGCTTTCATTTTATCGTTCCCTTCTTTCCATCTAATTTGCCCCTGCTTGTAAGCCCTGGGCTGGGAAATTAGATAATCAAATTTGACAATAATTTTATATTAAATTAGAGCCAATAAGGCTCTTCTGGGTTTAAGACTAATGGCAATGGATTTGTGATTGCTCTTTAGCTTGTCCGGTGGCTTCTCAAATCCAAGGTGAGGGCTCATTTTTAAGGTTGCCAGAGCTTTTTAATCTCTGTCTCTATGTATATATGTCCGTATGTGTATGTCTATCTGTCCATCCATGTGCATGCACACACACACATACACACATTTTTTTAACCATTAGTGCATAAATAATAAAAGATCCGACTTTAAAGCTAGTAAGACCTCTGTAACGTATTATTAAGGGAGGTTATCAAGGATGTTGTTTCCTATATAACTTTAGTCTTCAGAAACACTGCATCCCATGTCATAAAATGTTAGCTATGAAAGAGCAAGTTCTTCTCTTTTTCTTTGTATAATTTACGTGAAGGTCCAAAATTCAATATTAAATGTGCATTTGGTATATAACATTGACTTTCCTTAACAGAAGTCCCTGACCCCAATTGGGTACGTTTGCCAAATACAAAATGTAAAAACTAAGAGTTTGCCCAGTTTTACTAGAGGACAATCCCTCTTAAATCAGTGTTTGATTTCTATAACTCTTTTGTAAGTAAAGCCTATTTATAAGCCTGTCTGATTTCCAACAGCAAACACTTTTCTTTTAAAGACCTTAAAAAACCTAATTAAAGCCAAGCATGACTGTGATTTGAAAATGATACCAAGAGCGAAAGAGGCTGTGCCCTCACTTCCCTCGAGCACTGTACCTGGTGTCTCGCGTGTGAATTCCTTCGTCCTCGGCTAGAAGCGTTATCAGAAATACAGGATGAAAAAGAAGACAGAGTAAACACAGCAGAGATACAAGATACAGACCACAGGGTCTTACAATTTATCCAATATAATGAATTCCTCAAGTCGTAGGAAATCAGACTGGCTGCAATTTAGAGCTCGCCTGACAATGGACTTTAAAGATCTATTTTGTGCTATCTCATTTGCATGAGTAGAAATGATAACAGTTTATCAGGTAGCTCTCCTCCTTTTTGCAAAAAATATGGCTTTTTTTTTTTAAAGAAAGAGGGCTTTCTCTTTTGCCAGGATAATAATATCCACATTTATTCCTTCTTCTGAAGGCACTCAAACCAAATATTCTTTCCTCTCTGACTTCAGGAAATATTATATTGATTTTCTGGGAAAGCAAAGAGCCCCAGGACAGACTTGGACATAATGACCTGCCTCCTTTTATGAGAGGCTGAGACCATTATAGTAAGAAGCGTGGAGATCAGCCACCCAGATGGCTGGTGCCAGTACCTTGATGAATGTTTCCAAATCCCCATTAAACAACTTAGCATTATACTGTGAGCGGGGTCTGGACTTCCTGTGTTTCTGGGGCTTAGGGGGAACATTTGGAGGCCTAAGGGAGGGAATATAATTACTCAGCATGGCAGAAATCAAACAATAAATGAAACAGCCATAGGTCACATCAAAATTACAAAACACAGGAATCCTTGTGTTCCATCCACCCCTCCAGCCCCCACCTCAGAGGAAAACAGTCCTTCCTCTTTCCCGTTTAGTCACCTTCAAGTATGCATCAAAATCCATATTAGCTATTCAGTCAGACTGTTCTTTTCTTGTGTGTTCTGGCTGACATTTATTTTGCTAGTTTGTTTTAAAAATGGTGAGCATCACCAAAGGGAACTGTGAGCTATTTGGCCAAGCATTACAAACCAAGATCTGTGTTATCTGCCTTACACGTCACAAAGGAGACACAACAGATCATAAAAATAAGGGCCCTGATGGGTCCCAACATGAGAAACTAAACATATTTTATAGTTACAACGTAATTCTTCATTACATCTGTTCAATATTCGTCAGGTATTCACGGGATTTTATTTTATGCAAAAGTAGCTATTAATGGGTCACAGGTGGAAAACAGTTTTGTTTCAATGCTATTTCTGGGGGCAGTAGGTCTCGGCTCACATGAATTGCTATTTCTTTAAAACAAATTAGCTCACCACCTCACTATTTACAGAGCGTTAGGATGCACAGAGTCAGTCAGTCTCTCTGGCCTATGCACATCCTGTGTACTGTGCACTATATTTAGAAACCCTGCATCCTCTTGCTCTGTAACTGGTGACAGGGAACCTCTCCTGTCCTCTCCCTTTAGAGTGAAGAGGGCCTAGATTATGTGACTCAGCTTCTACAACTGTGCTGAATGGAACGTATGGTAGAAGAGTCCCAGGACCTCTCTCTGGACATTTCGATTTAAACTCCTCCTTAATCGGAAGGCTTGTAGGAGGACGTTCACCACACTTGGACATCAGGGAAAGCCCCTCATTAAGCTGCAGACTCTCTCGGAAGACTTACCTTTTTTAGTTCATTAAATTTCAGGAAGACCAGTTTAGAAACAAAAGCCCTTTACGTGGAAGCCTGACAACTAGCTTCGTAAGATGTTGCCACAGCAATCAAAAGAACCAGGGGAACAAACCTGCTGATACAGCCTTCCACCACCAGATTCTAAGACTCCCAGCAGATGGGCTTATATGACTAACGGGGTGTACAGCTACAATGACTAAGGCTCACAGTGCTGGAGAGGTGAAAAGGAGCCTTCGCAAGTGTTTAGAAGCAAATACGGAAAATTCCACCAAGTCGTAATCTGCTACTGCTGAAATTTCTGAAATCTCTTTTCTATACTGATTTCTGTGCCACCCAGAGAGGAAAGGATCTGGTAGGTATCAGAGTAAAAACAAAACCATAAACAAAACCAGAAACCTGCCCACCCAGGAATTGAACCGTATGTGCCTGATTTCATCTACTCTTTTCATTATTTTACAAGTGTTTTAAAATATAGAACTTTTTTTTTTTAATTCACGTATGGTGAGGCCAACAGATCAGTTGCCATGGAAAAGATCACATATTACTCACAGTTCCCAGGAGGAGAAGGCATGCTGCTACATGGACAAGCAGCAGGGCCACTGGTCAGGAGGCAGAGGGAGTGAGGGAAAATGTGGGCAAGAGCCTTTGCTGGGGTTATCGTGGGAAGGAACACGCAAGGCAGGGCAAGCAGGTTGAGGGTTAGCCGGTTTGAAAAATTTTGGTGGGCTCTGGGGTATGAGCACTGTCCCTAGTTTTCTGGTACCTGCCCTTTGGGTGATTAGGGAAGGGGAACTGGCCTTGAGTGTGAAGGCTTGATAAAGGAGGTGGCTGAGGGTACAGGCTCAGGATTGGTTGCTTTGTGTTAAAAAGCCACACTTATAAGCAAGTCCTTTACCATCTCTAGGGATGGGACAGACCCTCCAGGGTCAGCAGTGTCCCAAGGTAACAAAGAACCAAACAGAGAAACTAGAAAATGTGGCTATTATGACAAGGTCCAAAAGAACTTCACATCTGGTGCTATCTGGAACAGCAAATGAAGCCAAGGGGATAGGAACACAGGCTCACTTTGTTTGGTTACTGATTCGACAAGCAGATCTTGGAGCTGGAGCCAAAGCCCCCAGTGGCACTGGATAATTATTCCTGCGTCACTGAGAGATGCAGAGTGACTCTTGGCTGGGGCTGATGGAGAGGTATCGTTTGCGTCTTCTACCTAAAGCCTGAAAATTGCCTCTATGGACACATCTAAAGTATGAGGCCCACGTGAAGGTACCAAAGCTGTGAGAGGGACCTGAGATTAAAATAAACTGCCTGAGTGCTTATCAAGCTACGTTCCACAGCAGAGGTAGCTTAGTAGGCAGCTGGGGTGCTGATGGTTTTGGCTCTACCACGTACACCTCAGGTGAACAGACCCGTTCAGCATTTGGATTGTATGACTCGTTCTGGTGGTGTGCCTGCTACACAGCTTCTGGATAATCTGGCTTCCTATGTAGATGCTCATGTGGATGAGAGGAAGCAGCAGCCTGAATGATGTGAATATCAAGTCTGTTTGGCAATTACAGCTCTTATTGCAAATTTATATATTTGCACTCCTTCCTTTAAAAAAAAATCTTTAAACAAAGTGCCTTACATTAATTATAATTTAGAAACAACAGGCAAAATAGTTGATAGTGCAAAGGGACACTATATGTAAAAAAAGATGCATATTACCATGCACAAGTAATATGCCCCTTTGTCACTGACGTACAGAAGAAAAACCTCAGTATTTTTGTAAAGTTTAGACAAGTCAGTAAATGTATCTTTCTGGCTGGTTCACTAAGAAGAGGGGCTTCCTTTTGCATAAATAGTCTAGCAGGAACATTACAGAATCTTAAAATCAACTTGCCAATTACTGCAACAGACACATCAGTGTTCTAAACACCTCTGACTTCAGAGAGAACTCAACTTTATTTTTTAAACTAAAAAAATTTTTTTGAATCTTTAAAAATTCTTTTTTGGGGGAGGTAATTAGGTTTTTATTTATCTTAACGGAGGTACTGGGGACTGAACCTAGGGCCTTGTGCATGCTAAGCATGCACTCTATCACTGAGCTATACCCTCCCCATGAGAGAACTCAACATTAAAAGTGCAAAATCTTGCTATGTCAATTAGAATAATTTCTGGCTATTGCACAAATGTTGACATAGAGAAATAAAAGTTGCCACAAACCTTCCCCAACCCAAATCAGAATCTGCTTCCAAAAAGGCTTTTCCTTCTAAGCAGTGGCTTGAGAATTCTTCCAAGAAAAAAAAAAAAAAAAGGTGGGGCAGGGGAAACCAAAAAAAAAGACAAAATGTAAAAAAAAGGGGGGCGAGGTAGAAGAAGAGAAAGTGTAATATGGTTCTAGGCATTAAAAAGTTAAAATTTTAAAGTAAATCAGAGGCAGAGCTAAAATCCTCAGTATTCAGTATAGCTTGAGTTTTTTATAGGACAGACAAGAAAGAGCAAGAACTAACCAACCAGACACAGGAGATAAGCACATAATATTGCTTGTTAATTAAATTATCAAATCCAAAGTCTTATAGAAACTTAAGTGTTTTAGATTAGATAAACCAAACTGATTTAATTTTTCTTTTTCTTTTTTTTAAACTGAGGTTGCTCATTAAAGAGCTTTACAATTCCAATGGGAAACCCTCAGATATGCCAGAGCAAATGTGGTTTTGTGAGAACTCCAATCACTTGATGTTGCTGTTCTGTCACGCCAAAACTATCTTCCATGTTCATTAACAAAATATGTTCACTCCCGCAGCATTTAAGGGACTGCTTCTTGTTAAAAAGACAATGAGGCACAATATGAATTATGATCAAACATTTTCTTACCTTGTAGTCATATATTCAGCTCTATGACCTGTAGGGAAAAAAAACTAAAATAAGTAAACTGAATGGAATCAGTGGAATGCATTCGGCAATCTTTTGTCCCTTAAGATGCTGAGTTTATAATAACTTACATGTTTTATGGTGGAGAGCATGAAGATAGCATATAGACAAAAAATTCAAAATAAATATTTAATAAACTCTATACATAAATTCCATAGATGAGAGAAACATATTTCATTTGGTATTTGAGGCAGGAGTTTAATGCTTTTAAATTTTAATTTTTTTAAAACAAGAATTAGCTGCTTGATCTTATCTATGAGTTCAAAGATGAAACACAAATAAAAAACATCCAAGATTTGCATGTTAGTTATTTTTGTCTTGATGGATACTGGTAGGGGAGAAGTTAGGGAGTC